AGCATATTGGATAACGGAGTATATTAAAAATATTTTTATTAGTCACGTTTATTACTTTTATCACTTCTGTAGTCTATATAATGTGCATTAGTGTAATTGTGCATATGTGGATATTATTTGTGAGACACCRTAGTTGGTGACATCATAAACTAAAAATAATRATTAAATACAATACACTCAAAAAAATAAAAATAAACTATTAAAGAAGTATTGAAAAATACAGCTTAAAATATGGGAACAATATGATAAAATGTTTACTCTCCTCCCTTTTCCACCAGAAAACGCATTTGCCCAACAGAATTGCGCGCAGTGACAGMTTTCGATAGYAACTTTTTTGAGGCACGTATGATTGAACTATAGTCCATCGTGGGCAAACTGCAAAGTCCGGTGAAGTAGAACTTYGTCATACCACATGACTAAGACTTATTACAAAACTTTTCTTAGATTTTACAAACCTGCACACGCTGATACACACAGTATGCGCAAAATTGAGAAATTCCAAATCAYGGCTGTATAACGGCATAAAGATGACCTGCTTCCATCTCTACAAGAAATCTATAAATAATCTATAATCTAGATTAATTTTGTCGATATTTCAAAACTTCTCCGCCGATAATGGTCGATCGAAAGTGATGGGACATACAAATATATGTATAGCCATATAGGTACTTTCAATCTACAATTCTACATCGTACACAATAATATTGTTTTACCAAAATTTCGACACACTACACAAGTACTATAGCCTATATAGGTATTATATTAATATATAATATTATATTGTACATGTTATATAAAATTGTAAACTAGAAAATCGTCAAAAACAGTTAACAGCCGTTTTCTGGGCACCAATAGTTAAAAGAAAATTCATGGTCGTCMACACATGGATACCTACAGAACACCAAATATCCCATATGGAATTAGAGTAGGATATAGGTACCATGGTCGCCAGTGAAGTTTGTGCGCCGTTCAACTCCATGGTGTGACAGAATAATGCCCGACCGATTTCCGAGGATATTGCGTGTGCAGTGTGTCTACAAAGTCTCTGTGCGTGTGTAAAGGTAAGAAGAAGAAGCACATCAGTGACCTATATTATTCATAAGTTTCTATTATTGTCAGAACAAATAACTTTTTGTATGTATAATGTACTACATAAACACTGTATAGAATGTGTGATGTGTGAATGACATTATATTATAAAAGTTTGTAAAATCCAAGGAAAAGTAATAAAATGTCGGTAAAATAATCGTGTTATGCGCTGTCCAACTATATGTTAACATAATATTATAATTATAAATCATATTTGTACCCAATTAATAATATTATGATTTATGATGCATATTATTTATTAACGTAATTTCGTATTATTCATAAAGATCCTATATAATAAATAATAATAATGTCACTGCTCAGTGCTCGCGGTGAGTTCTTTTACGTCTTACATATTTCGTAATATTCACTATTGAAATATGCTCCTTATAAATGTCTGTACAGATTGTACATATTGTACATAGGTATTGTTTATAAATATGAAAAATAAATAAATTAGATCATATATATTCGTAATAAGTACCACGTATACGGTATACGCCACTAATGCCTCTATAGTAATGGATCTACGTCTACGGAGATATTATTGCAAGGCATAGGGCGCGAATTTGGAGATGTGAAAAACAAAAACGTCCGCGTTACGGTTGACGTAAAAAATGGAGCATTTACGCTGAAATGTCATATACCTTTATGTATTATTATATTAATGTATTGTTTATAGACGCGAGACATGATGGTTACGGCCATGGACATTCAGCCCAGAGATGTAAAAGCATACATTGTCTATTATATCCACTATACCTACACGTTAATGAATACCATATTATTATAGTAGCAAACATATTATATGCACCCTTGCTACTGCAGTTGGCGGGCGGTCATTTGTCTTGAGCTGTTCAAAACAACAGATGATGTTAATGCAATGGATTTAATTATTTTAGAAAAAATAACSTATGTATTAATTTATCCCTTTAATAGTTTATTACCCATACATAATGTGTACTATATTACGTGTTTTGTATTATGCCATTAGGCATAACTGCGTAAGCATAATATGAAAATATCTAGATTATTATGACTGGTATCATATAGGAATATCATTTATAAACAGCAATAGCATTTGCAATAAACAGTTTTAATATTTTCGTGTGTTTTCGAAAAATAGGTAATATTTCAATTTGAACTTATAATAATTTTACTTATCATATCCATTATGAGTTATGACCCATTAATAAACAAACAGACCAGATACAGGAGTAAACATTTATTATAGATTAAGTACATTATCAACACCACTACGAAATATACATTAATTTTGTTAAAAGCCATTAAATGGCCAAATTTTTTTTATAAGCAT